AAAAAAAAATTAAATGAAGAGCTTGTTCATTTCCTCTTAGCTTTGATCATTTTATCTGAAGTTTAAGTACTCTCTTTTTGGGGCAGATTAACACTTTGCCGCTGTTACATGTTGGTGATCTTCCTGAGAAACAGCAACATGTTGCCCAAAGCAGAGTCCAGTTTTGTAAGAACCTGAAGCCTGAGTTTGACAAGGATCTCCATCTCTAGAATGAAATTCATTGAGGGCTTCTTGGCTCTCCCACCCTTCGCGGAATTATGTTTGTATAGATGAAAGTACATAGGGATAAAAGAGCAATTATTGAGTTGAGAATCTGTTCCGTTGTTTCAGATAAGGATTTCCTGTCTAAACTTACTTGAGAATAGTAAGCTCAGCTGTCCTCTGTCTCTTCTACAGGATTCATATAGCCGATTCCAACTTGTTTGGGACTTAGGCATAGTTGTTGTTGTATACATAGATGACCATCTCTTTTAGGCTTAGCACACCAATTATCTGTTATGTCTACACTTTTTATGTACTGTCTACTGCACTACTTGGCTACATGCATAATGATGAAGTTAAACTAGGCAGTGTCTCAGTATCTGTCTCCTCCTAAACACTTGAATGCATACCTAAAGCACTGTTTTTATTGTAAAACAAGTAGGGTGTGTTGATTGTTTGTTCACTGGAAAAAAACATAAGAATCTTTTGGTTTATGAGCTACAAGTTTACTCAATCAGCTTACCTGACTGAGTCACGAGCTGCTAGACAGGTCAGTCCTGGGGCCAAGCTAGAATTTCGGCTACAGGTTTGGTTGAACCTAGTAGTCAGGGGCGGATTTAGGGGGTGAAAGGGGGTTCAACCCCCTTCGTCGGAAAATTACTTATACAAAATTTCTTTTTGTGCCTCTATATATTATATTTTAAATCCCTTGACACAACCCAAAGGATAACTTAGTGGTCAAGAGGGTTCAAAACCTTAATGAGGTCCCTTGTTCAATTCTCACTAGCCGTAATCTTTTTAAATTTTTTAACTCTTTTTTGAACCCCTTAGTAGAAATTATTTGTCTTGAGTCTATAAGCTTTAAATTATGGTTTCGCCGTTCCAGGTAACTGATAGCTACTAAATGATCAAGATTGTGACATGAACCAACTACTTTGGGGACTTAATGACGTGGCCATGCCAAGTTGCCCAACATAAGGCCCGTTTCTTGCATGACAGTCACATGCAGTTTCATGAGATATGACATCATGATTAAAAGTAGGTTTGGTGGTTGTATAATTCTCAAACGAAAAATAATAAAACAAAAGTAGATAGAGCGATCAAGCAGGAACGTATAACTCCTTAGTCCAAGTAAATTTCTACATACAAAGCAACCTCTTGCACCAACATACATGCATTCAATTGCAGGATGTGTCCGTATGAACATATTTTTCTTTATTCCAAGTAAATTTAGCGTCTACATACAAAGCGTCTAGCCTAGAGCAAGTTTGTTTGCCACTAGCAGTAATCAATTAAGGTCTTTGGCAGTCTGACACGATGGGTTGCACCTCAAGAGGTGTAATGTAGACAGCATATTTTAATGCGAGTATTAGTGGCTGCTTTTACGACTCGAGCGTATGATCTATAGATCACACGGATAAGTGTGAGCATTGTATGAACAAAATTGCCGTATGTTTCACCCAACTCAGCCCAAATTGGAAACATGTTGAGACATATTTTGCACTTCCACCAAATGTTGGTCACATCATGTTTTGCCTCTTTTAATGAAAATGAAATATAACAAACGATGAAAGAAACATAATATAGTCTCTTTAAATTATGTGAGGATGTTATATACTAACTCTTCATTGACATGGATGTAAAGTGCAAATTCTGAAAACTATTGGGGGTGAACATGCTTATATTGCCCCAAGTTTAAATGTTTCACCTATCGTAATTGCTAGAAATAAGTAATTTTCCGCAGAAAAGTCCAAAATTCTAGAACAGTTTTTATTTTACAAAAACGAATAAGCACTTAAAATCCACATGGCGTTATCGTGAAAATCACAATGATAGGACAATTGAAAATGACAGAGAGCATAAATGATATATTCAAGAATTTTATATTCCCACGTAATATTATTCCATATTAAGATCATGAATGAAGTTTCTTAATTTGTTTCTTACGTAACAGGAAAATAAAAAGGTGGTATTTTTGAAGTTTGTAAACTTATTTTGAGCTTTTGCAGAAAATCCTGAAAATATTGGTTTTTATAAAATTTTCAAATCTTTACCTTTATTCGAGATTTAACACAAATTAGAACTTAAAAAAATAATCAAAAACTGAGTTTTGAAATCTAAAAACTTCAACTTTAAACAAGCGCCTATGTTTTTTCAATTGAACAACAGTGGTCAATAGAAATTGATATTTAAACTTTTCCTAATTACGAGATTGTCCTATTAATGATGACCACGATGAACATTGGCTACCGTGTAAAACTTTTGTTAGTAATCTTTATTTGTAAATTAATTCTGAAAAAATAAAAAGATTTATAAACATAAAATGTAAACGAAATAAAAGTTAATCCGAGCCCACTGAATTCACAGTGTTTTCTTAAGGAATTTAATCCCCTCCTAGTACCCAAGGTTATGGATTATTTCCTCCCAGGATAGGACGAATTACACACTGCTATAGTGGTACTTCAAACCCCAGTGTTTCAGCGAACACAAAGTTCGGTAGCAAATCACACTTACTGTTGCTTTCTTTGATGTGAAGAGTATGCAGAAGAAAGGAGGAGAACTTAGAAAATCGTATGGAAATTATGAGAGAATGGACTTGTATTTATAGCCAATGTTGGGCTGAAACTGAAGAGGTGCAACTCTTCAAAATGGTTGTTTATGCAAAACGGCCATAGCATAAATGCCATAACATAAATGGCTAGTTTATGCAATAATAAACCGGGAATTGAAGAGGTTCAGTTACATAATCGAAAAACGGAAAACGGATAATGAAAAAACGTTTAATATTGCAAGTCTATTCTTTATATTGTTGGTGACATCATCAAACGACGGCAAACGATATAATCTATCTGAGCGTTGTATTCATCAAACAATACAACACAATATGATACATTAAAAACGACATGTACCAACCGTCCAAATAAGCTGCAAGTCGCAAGATTTTTTTTATAGAAAAATTCATTTATATTTATAAATATTTAATTGTAAAAATAATTACTCTTATTATTAATTTGAGGTAGCTATAAGTACGGGAAATTTTCACAACTACAACTTCTATAAGAGTATATTATATTATTTACAACTATTATTTGATTTACGTTTTGTACAACTTTATTTATGTTTTAAAAAATTAAAGAGTATCCAGCTTTGTTAAGCCACCCTACAAATATGGTAGTATCCCTAAAAAAATATTCTCTTTCTTCTCTCCCTGTACGGAAATCAGTGAATGAGGATCCCAAAATTTTAGCATATTTAATGAAATCCTTAACATTTTCTAAATTTAAGCCTAACTGAATTGACTACGACTAAAATACAAATTACTCTAACTGAATTTCTTAAAAAATCTCTAAATTCCTAAAACTTAGTTTAACCAAATGGACTACAACTCAAATACAATGAATCATCTCTTAAAAGTTGTTCTTTGGCTGTTATTTAAAAATAGGTAAGAGATTACATTATATATAATATATGTTCATCGAGTAATAATACTCTTTTTACAATATTGCATATAATTGATAGTATATCGTATACCTCTTATACAGTGGTATAAATATATAATATATTGTATAATGTATATATTTAATCATTAATGAACAATAAAATATATTATATATTCTACAGATGAAATAATGGGTTAACTTATATATATAAATAAAATAATATACTTTCTACCTAAGTATATATATAATATAAAGAAATTGTATATTGTACATAGAATAAATATACTATATACTACATACTATATACCATATACTATAAATATACTATATATAACCCTATTATGTCCAATGTTCTTTATTTGCATATAGATAATAGAGCATCTAAATATATTTTGCAAATACGTATATTAATGTATTCATATATACTGTATGAAAAGTATCTACCTATATTATACCATATTCATAAACTAATAATTTGGTATTTTGCGTTAATTCATGATACAACGTGACTAAACATTGTTACTTTCAAATTAAAATATTGAATCACGGTAATGTCTCAGAAAATAAATTTAAGAATATCAATTTTTATTGATTGAATTTAATACCGAACAATAGAAAGAAAAAAGAGGAAGAAAAGAACACTATTGGTATGAACAACAAAGATCAAAATAAGTTTGAAGATCCGAAATCCAAATTCATTAGCGATATTGTTGTTCTTGGTGAATTTGTAACTAATTCTGCTTCCATGGGTAACACGACAAATATTTCCAAAAATAAGTGGTTTGGGCGACTCCTCTGAGTGCTCAAACAAGCAGATGAAATTGAAGTGCAAGGAAAAAATAATATTATTTACATAGAATTGTGGAAGAGAATGTTTGTTCATTCTCAATATGGTACGGTAAGATAATTGAATATTAAAGAGAACAAGTGTGTTATGATTTCTCAATACCATTTAGTTAATGAATGAGAAAATTAAGGAGTCAGTACTAATAACTCAATTAAGAGAAATATATTAGAAATATGGAATGTTGTAGATTTTAAAAAAGTTGCATTATATATGATAATCTAAAAGTAGTTGTAACATATTTAAATAAATATTAAATAAGTTGTATTCCACGTAAATTCCTCTATAAGTACCCATAAACCACATATTATGTTTGCTACTTATTCTAGAAAAAAAAGATGGGAAAATTCTTTTGCCTTCATAATTAATTATTGCATTTTGCAAAGAATATTTGTCCAATTAAAAAAAAAAAAGTAAAAGGAAAAGATAGCCCCCTTAAACTTCGTGAAGTCAGTACACCTCTTCTGGGAAAAATAGTAGATCCAAGTCCACTGATCAACTAACTCATCATTTCCTCCTTTGAATTTCTCCACTCATTATTCTATAATAGTTATAGAAATCACATATTTTCATGACGAAAAAGTAAATGGTAGTAATTGCTTTTCTTGGAATACTGTCTTTCTAGTGTATGGTGATGAACTGTGAATCCAACAAGAAAAAGAGAATTTTCAATTGAATCCATGAGGATTATTAGCTCTCTAATTTTTATATATGGATTGGTATTATTCTTCTCACTGAATTATCCTGCTAAAGTTACAGCAGGTGACATTGTTCATCACGATGACTTAGCACCCAAGAAACCCGGCTGTGAGAACGACTTTGTGCTGGTATAACTTTTTCTCTGAATCTTTAATGCTCAATTTCTCTTCGACCCAGTTTGTTTCATGTGATTTTCTTAATTGGGTTTTCTTCAATTTTGTGCTCTTTTGTTTTCTTGTGCTTGGACTATTGAAAAAATAGTTGTAAAAAGGTGCTATTTTAGCTTGATCATGTCTAAATGTTAGTAATTTTTTCAACTGGGTTTCCTCTATATTTTTAATGCTCTGTTTCTCTTCGACCCAGTTCGTTTTATGTGATTTT